AGTGTATGTGGAAAATGGACAGTTAAGGCTCAGTAGTGGGTGATGGGCCATCCTGGGGAGACCTCCCTGCAAGGGTGTTGTACACTGGATTCCTTGGGGGCCAAAGAAGAACATATTCTAATGGAAGAGGAAAGGAAAAGGCACAGTCATGCAGTAACGGTGAAACGAAGTCTGAAAACTCATAATGTGTGAGCGGGGAACACAGACAAGCAGGATGGCACACCACTGCCGACTAAACCCACTGCCTGTCTCTGGTGATGGCAGACTGACAGCCACAGACCATAGGTGGAGGTGGCACAAACCTTCTGCATCCCTCACCTTCAGTTCATGTTGAGAACATCACAAGCACCTTGCTGCCCAGACATTTCAGCAGCTGCAGCTGTTGGTCTGCTCACAAGGGAGGAAGCCAGAAGCATCAAGGCTGACATTAAGATCTCAAGCAGAGCACAAAACCAGCAGAGTGCTTCGTGCCTTGTCACAGCCAGAGCTCAACCTGATGCCACTGCTTCTAGGTGTGTCTTTGACTTGTTACTACCAAGCAATGGATCTGGCACTGAGGTCAATGGTGGGACGTCCACACAGCCTCCATCACATGTTTTCAAACAAATTTTTCAGTATCAAAAAAGAGTAACCCAAGCAGAGTGAACATTTCCTCATTCCCCATCACCTCAGCATGTCACCCGGAGAGCAGCTTGTGGCATAGATTGGTGCCACCGACATCACTTTGGCTTCTCTCCCTTGATTCCTCTGAGCTTTAATTTCTTTCACTGCTTTTGCTACATACCTCTCCCTAAGAACTAAGTGCAGAGAAATTATAGCGGGTAACCCATGAACTCTTAACACATTTACGGCACTTGGAAATACACACTGCAGAGTTACACCACATTTGAGGATGTGAGAGACATGGCTGCTTGGCCAAGAGGTCTACACAGACTGTAGTGTTGAGCTGTCTTTGTATGTTGCCCCCTTGGAAGCCACACGAGGATTAAAAGGTGACTGAAAAGTTTGCTCCTGCAGCCATATCTAAAGGGGAAGGTGACAGTAGTTCCGACAGGAGATATGGTGCATCCTACCCTTCTTCAACAAGCGTTACAGCAGGCATGTACAAGAGCGTCAAGCCATGTCTGTGAAGGCTTTCTGACAGGCGGGCTGGCTGCCCTCAGATTTTACATTCTGTTTTGCACCGCTCCCAGTGGGTGATGGGGAAGAAGTGCAAGGCACTGCAGAGCCGGTTTCAGAACCACTACACAGGACATGGAATCGACACCCAGCTTATGATAACCTGAATGGGATGGGGATGCTGAAATGCTAGTCAACTATTTGGTTTGCTTTGCAAGAAAAGTCCTTTCGACGTTTACTTTCCCAGTGCCATAACGGTGGGCAGAAGAGGGCACTGGGGGCTCGCTGGGAAGCACGCTGCCTTGCTCTGTTTACTACAGAAAATATAAAAATCACTGTCGGGTTTTTCTAACACCACATCACAAGACTTGAAAACTGCTCAGTACCAGCCGTCACTGCTGATTGGAATATTGCTAAAACACTCCGCCTGAGGGCAGCCCAGCACCGGCCGTCTCGGCTTCTGCCTGGGAATCGCCGCCTCTCAGCAGTACTCAAGAGTTTTTTCTCCCTCAGAAGCACACCGGCTGTTGCTACCTGGCATACACAAGTCTTTCCTTACATTTTGTTTATTTCAGCTTCATAAAAACCCTGCTTTACAAACCAGTTGCAAAGCACTGTCATTCATGAAGCGTTAGCATCGCTCTGGACCTGCTCTGAAATAGCCAGCTAGTTTCTGTTATGCCTCAGACTTGGTTCTTGTCGGGTTCTTTCCCCCTCCTCCCCAAGCCTCTGTGATTTCACCTTTTCAAACAATCTGAAAGTTTGTGTCATGATGTTTCTAAGCCCCCCGTGCTGTCACGGGGGGTGGGTTGCTGTCGAGGGTGGTTGCTGGCTGGTTCTTAAGCACCAACCCCACCAAAAACATCTCGAGCCACCTAGCACAGGAGGGGATTTTGCAGCTAAAATCAAGCTTAGGAGTCTTAAGAAGGGTGCTACAGGGAGTGTCTTGCAGCAGTAGGATCAGTTACTCAGATTCATGAGTTAGTGAGTGATTTTATAGCCAACAGCAAAGAAAGAGCAAGCCTTTTTTTTTTTTTTTTTTTTTTTTAACCCACATGTGTTGCCCTTATACTAGTGATCAGGATACACACACATGTAAACATATTGAATGGCATCATGTAACACTTTATCAACTCAAGATTCCATGGTAAACTGAAAGAACATAAATAACCTAAAATAAATTCCTCCAACTTTAAGAAAAGCATTGCTTTATTTGTATTTTTGAGACCAGAGAAACTGCCTGAGACGTTGAATCCAGAGAGGAAAGGGATGACACTCACCTGGCAGATAGTATTGTCCCAGTCTCTTGAAGCAGCACTGGGTGCCACAGGATCAGTAGTTGATTTTATTTGACCTAAGAAGTCAGTGAGAGTTCATCCCAGCTGAAAGGAACTGTCAAATGAAGGAGCAGTGAGGGCAGCATGAGTCAACTGGGAGCATGTTTTTTGCCTTTGGAGGCAGAGCAAGAGATGTGGAGCAGAAGCACCCCGAAGCTGGCTGAACATCCCTCCCCGCAGTGTGAGAGGAGCTGCCCAGGGCTCCCAGCCTTTGCTGAGCTGTGTCAGTCACTGGGGAAAATCCCAGGCCAGGGCACAGCAAACCAGAGCTGGGTCACTCTGTGGCGGGTGAGCCTGCTCCGGTAGTGTCTCCCGATGACGTCTCAGCTGCTGACGTGCAGTGTCTGCTAAATACAGGTTCTGCATCGCAAGGGACAAAATCATGTCCTGTACCAGCCCATGCTGGGAAAACCAAGGGACGCTGCCAAATGCTGCTGGCATTGGTCAGCTGGTGTGGTTACCCAGAACATGAAAAAAAATAGAGATGAACAATAATGATACTTTCCATCTTCACTACTGCAGTAATTAGCCTCTTCTCCCCTGTAACGCCTGGCCTCCTGTACCTATGGGAGCCTGCGCAGGCAGCCGGGTTTTGTGAAAATTGGATATTAGGAAAAATTTCTTCACTGAAAGGGTTGTCAAGCACAGAAACAGGCTGCCCATGGAAGTGGTTGATTCACCATCCCTGGAGGTATTTAAAAGACACTTGAGGATGTGGTTTAGTGGTGGACTTAGCAGTATTAGGTTAATGGTTGGACTTGATGATCTTAAAGGCCTTTTCCAAACTAAATGATTCTATAATTCCATTCTATGAAATCAAAGCACCATGAGGGAATACTGTCCCATATTGTGCAGGGCAGACCTCAGCAGAAGCCACAAAGGCAGAAATGATTGTAGACTACGAAGCAATGTTGTGCAGCTGTGCCTTGGGCAAGCGGCCGTATGAGAGGTTAAAACACGGGAGAAAGGAAGTCTACAGCAAAGCCCGTTCTCGTGCTGAGGGGTGAGTTCAGTCTGCAGAAAGCATGAAGGAGGGGTGAGCTCTGAGGAAAGCAGGCAAGGCTTGGCTGAAGGAAAGTGAACACAGGTGGAAAACTCATCCTACAGGACTTCAAGTTCTGGTGGATGGACAGTGTTGCAGAGAAGGAAATAGGGCACCTGGGAGGAAACCTGAAGGTCTCTAGAACATCTCCAGTCTAGGGAGAAACTGCCCAGACCAGCCTCCTGGTGCAGAAGGGAACAGCACCAAGGAGGGGGCAGGGATGGGTTGGAGGGATGCCACAGGCAGCTTTCCACCTTGCGAGATCCCCCGTGGCTACTGCTGTGTGGAAGGGCTTTGGCCACCTGGCTCCTGCAGTCATTATCCAACTCAGCGCTCATCAGGCCACACCGGGAATACTGTGCTCTGTTTTGGTCCCCACTATACAAAAAACATGTGGCCAGACTGGAGAAGGCCCAGAGGTCCACAAGGATGGTCAGGGGACTGGGAGGCCTGCCACGTAAGTACGGGCTGAAACTGGGTGTGTTCAGCCCTGAGAAGAGGAGGCTTAGGGGACACCTTATCACTGTGTTCCAGTATTCAACGGGTGGCTACAAAGAAGATGGAGACTCCCTTTTTACAAGGAGTCACATGGAAAAGACATAGTGTAATGGGTACAAGTTACTCCTGGGGAGATTCCGATTGGATGGAAGAGGAAAAAATTTCACCGTGAGAAGAATGAGCCTCTGGAATAATCTCCCCAGGCAAGTGGTGGATCCCCACCCCTGGATGCTTTTAAGACTCAGCCCGGCCGGGTGCTGGGCCAGGAAGGTTGGACCAGAGGATCCTTGCGGTCCCTTCCACCCTGGATCATTCCATGGTTCTGTGAAGGTCCCCGGGCGCCGCCCCGGGCCACCAGAGCGCGCAGACACGGAGTCCCGCGTGGGAGGGGCCGCTCCCTCCCTCCTCCTGCGGGGAGAGGGGAGACCCGGCACCCAGACCCTGCGTCCGCAGGGGTGACCCCCGCCCGGGCACGGCAGGGGGGGCGGACCGGAGGGGCATGGGGGTGACCACGGTCACCCGAGTCC